TACGTTGGATACACTTATCACTACAGCAAGACATGGAAAATAGCATTGTTGAATTCTTACGCCAAAACTTGTATGATTGTTTATTATTTATCAAACATGGTCATCCATTTCAGTAGAGGATTAGCGACGGTTGCGTCGCGTTACTTATGAATTGCAACTAAATCGATATGTATATACATATCTCAACCAAATTGACTATTATGAAATGAATATTTAGGAAGAACAGAATCAGATTTCAGTTCATACTACATTTTAATCATTGTAGTATATTTGTTTTTCACTATGTAATAAACGACTGATCCTACTTTCTCAATGATGATTTCTTTAATCAATTCATTCAAACTGTGTTTTAATCGCGAACAACATACAAATTTATCACTGTACTTGTAACATTTTCATGATAAATCTATTCGTCATCAAATACTGTTTCACTAAAATATGTCTTTGACAGTGACATCTGATGCATTTTGACTACAGGTGTGTTTTTTTAATTAGAAAATGATCGTTCCTCTTTTTTTGTGCGGTTTGGGAAACTGTATTTAACATGTGTTGCTATATGTAAATATGCAAGCAGCTAAAGTAGATTTCTATCTTTTTTTATTATAAATTATGATCGGCATTGTTTCATTTTTTCAAATGTTGTGTTCGATCGAATGAGAAAATAATCTCGTATATACCGAAAATTTTCTAGGATGAATAATAAATATTTAAATAAAATAACTGTTTGTTCGATTCAAGGAGTGCATAATGCAGTATTTTTGTACAGGAAGAAAAGATGTTTTATTGAAAAAAAATGCATAGGTACTACGCCAACAAGGACAAAATCGTCTTTCAATTCTTAAACTTTTTATCTCAACATGTCGAAACTGTAGATTCTTCATTGATATTATGTTAGAAGATAATTGATATCAGAGGTGTCCACAGGGCCAATTTTATTGCCCTGTCCTGCTAATTAAGAAGATTTTTTTTCATATTTAAATTCAAGTTCAAGTAATCTTTTTTATTTGAAAAATAGTTCAGCAAAAAGATAAATGATCAGCAAATAATAAATTAGCGCTAATTGAAAAAGTGTATATGATGATATTGCATCATCACTGATGATCCATCAGTAGATCGGCTTGTCCACGTAACCCGCTACTTCGCTGATCAAGTTTTAAAAATGTTTTTTTTCGATATAAGCAGATCTTAGGGTATTTTTGGGTACAGAGTTTTTTTACACTGATTGTGAATTTGGACTTTTTTCTTAAAAAAAATTGGGTTTGGCATCGAAATTCAAGTTTTAAAGTTTTCATAAATTGTATTTTCAATTTTCTAACCAAGAAATTCACAACTACAATGCAGAGTAATATACCATTCGATGCAGAATTTGATTCTTTACAAAGTGACCTGTTAATTGTTTACTCACATTCTTCAGGACAACTTCTAAGCTCTTGTACAGTTTCTAACTTACTATACAATTATTGAGCTCGTATTTCGATGCAGCAACTTGATTTTTTCTTACAGAAGGATATATGCAGGGCAGTGATCAACATATATAAACATTGAATATTTTTAAGCATGGTAAGTGCTTCAAATTTGGTCGACAAAAAACGTGTCACAGCGTTACGTTTGGTTTTTTCATTTTTAATCTAACCCAGGACGATGTTTCCGGCCTCCGGAAATGAGCGGATTTAATTCGAACCGGCCAGGAACATGCAGGAAACGCACCGGAGCGTGCAGGAAAACGCCGGATATCACCGGACCCTGAAAGCAGTATTCCGGGACGGATTTTTCCGGCTTTCCCGGCGATTTCCGACGGGAACCAACAGGAACTTGGCGGAACTTACAGGAGAAATTCGGAGATTCCCCGGTCCGGAATACTGCTTCCGTGAAATCACGGAAATGCGCTGGAAACGGCCGTTTCCCGGGCCGGTTACTTCGACCTGGGTGCACTATTATGATTAGCTTATTATTTTCTTTTGTTTTCTTACAAATTTGATTGGACCTCATGCAGTCATCATACAAACACAAATATAACAATCTATTTACCATATAATAACGCCACCTGATTTTTTAAATTTCTTTCACATTTCTGAGAAAAATAAAATTGTTGTTATTTTCGAACTAAAGTAGGTATATGCAGAATTTGCAGGGCATGAAGACATAGCCCTACCCTGCCCTGATTTTTGCTCTGGCCGTCCTGCCCTGTGGACACCTCTGGTGAGAATCTGCCAACAGTAGACATTGAAAAGCTATTTAAAAACATCAAATAATTATAGAATAGTTTGTAAATGACATACATTCTTCTTTCACGTTTTTTGTCTCGATTCGATCTTCGATATGTATCATAGAGAAATACAATGGCAGTTGATAGTCCAGCAGACTATTTTTTTAGAAGAAAAGTGCTATGTTGCAAAAAGAATATTAACTCACTGAAGTCGAACCATGCATTTTTGACATACTAATATTAGATTCATGTGCAATCAATTGACGTTCACTGGTAATCAACGACACGTTGCTTATAGTTCTCGCTGAGTAAGTATTGCTTTGCTCCACAGCTGTATTACCACGTTTAATTTTGTTCAATCGATACTTCCTTTACTGCAATAATCATATTTATGCAAAACAAAATTAATTTTGTGATTATAAAATACAAATAAGATTGTTATGATTGAATAAGTAATTATAAGAAAATAACGATTTTAGAATTCGATATTATCCATTGGTATTACACTAACTTTGATCTATAGAGTCTTTAAAGGTAAAGATATTTTCTAGTGTCTCCATTTCACAGTTAAAAATCAACATCGAAATACGGATACTAATGGATAGATTAGTAAAGCCATCATAAGAGCATGCCAAACTACGGTTGAAATGAAAAGGGTTCAAGGAAGATTTCAAATTGCTTTGATAATTCCCAATGTATAAGAATTTTGAAACTAAAATAAAATTCTAACTAGCAACCAAAAGATATCAAGAAAGCAAAACACGCTAAGAAAACTTGAATTTTTGCACGTATATTTTTCTCAAGTTCATTCATATTTTTTATTTTTTGGATTCTATGGTCGCTACTATATATACATATACGCGTTCATATAACTTGATCTTTTTCACTTTCTAAAAAACACATAAAATATGATGATAGGTGCTACCTGTAGATATGAAAATTATGTATATCTCAATGATTCACTGAATTTCATCATAGCATTCAGATTGTCGTCCCTAATTTTCAGAGATAAGTCATAGACTATCATATAAATATTGATCTGAAAACAACACATCTCATATTTGTCTTCACAATGAACTTTTATTGATGCATGCAGTTGTTCATGAATAACAGATCTGAATGTACTGCTGATGTTTAATAAATTATCAGGTCTTTGCAAATAAAAGAATCAAATTTTCTTATTTACCATGATGTTTAATAAAAAGTAAGTACAAACTTACAGGAATTTAATCGGATTGACTCCGCTGAAGGCGGCGGATTTTAATTGTATAAGGTCGTTTTGCAGAGGAGCGTAAATTTGAGAACATATCTTTATTTTTTCAATGGATATTCATTGTATTTAGAAATTTGATTACCAAGAAGTTATGAAAAAGCGCTTCAGTATCATGAATACAAAAGTGGGGCAACCTTTTTATGTATGATTTAGTAAACTTTCTTTCGTTCACAAATGAAGAATGTGTGTGTGTGTGTAAATAAAGGCACAAATAATATAGCATTACTGGCAAGTACAGTTCTTTCTTCATGATTCCATGAAAGGTCTCTTCTTAAAATATACAGCATGCGCAGTCATTATTTATTTTAAATCCTATGAAAATTCTCTTTCTATTATAAAAGTTATGCGACTTCAAACAACAACTATAAAGAAATATAAATTAATTTTGTATTAAAATCGACTGTTTCGTAATAATTATAAACAAAACGCTTCTCGTTCTTTCCCAATAATTATATGCACATTTTTTTCAAGTGGTGGATAAATCATAATTTTATTTGTCTCCCAAAATCATTCCAGAATGTTATAGAGCACGGATTTCGTTCTTAACGCGTCGAAAGAGATTCAACTGCGATTAAAATCATCATCTTTTCTGTTTTTTTTTCTATCGAAGAAGATTGATATTGCAAAATGACTGAGAAGATATTTCAGAATTTTTATTACTATTTTTACTAGACACATCTTAGGTGTATCTTAATTATCATCTAGAAGTTTATTTCGTACAATATTTTGTTAACATAATAACGCTCACTTTCTGAGTTATTTTGCTTGTTATTAGGCACATATTTCGATTCTTTTTCAAGAGTAGTTTTTAGAAAAATAATTTTCATTTAGAATGGTGTGTGTGTGCAGAAGTCTTCTCTTCAGTAATGAACAGAGTTTATATCATATCCATGTACAACAAATGATTCATTGGAAAAAAACGTTTGGCAAAGTTTGTCGAGTAAAAACCAAAACTCTATTGCCAGAAAAATGTGAAACTTCGGTAAAAAGAGAAAGATCATTTTGTTGGTCAATCGTAAAAAGTACAATCGAATAATTCTTGGTTTCTATTTATTTTCACGGCATACTGTAATTAAAAGAGAATAAATGTGAAAGAAATATTTGTTCCGATGAGATAATCATTTCTTTTGAATAAGATCAAGTACGCAAGAGTTCTTATATTTGAGAAAATTTATGTGTTCATCGTCATTGATATAAGTAGACGCCAATGTTATCGGCATAGCCATTAAGATAGGTTCCGAAATACCTAGTAAACGTGACGAATACAGTTGCTGTACGAGCACCGATAGGGACAATACCAGTGAACTGTCGAAAGAGAAGTATTGTTTGACCTCCTCGATCAGCATCGGAAACAGGTCCGATAATACTCATGTTACCAATCGTTTGATTATTTTTATCAGCAAAAGTCAACGAGACTACAACACCATCTTCTTGACCTGAGACGCCGCCTAACCAAGACGAAAGATTAAAATTGATACTCCCACTATCAATCAGACCAGTGTCAGCGTAATCAGTCAAATTGATTGTTTGCCATATAGAAACGGAGCTCGCATCATAGCCATAGAAGAAACAGCTGCCTCTATCACTAAAGAAAAATAAACAATACAAGAAGATAGATTTTCATCTTACGTAGTTTCAGCTTCAGTGCCAGACAATGTCGGCGCACCATTAAACAGAAAAGTTGTATTGTAATAGATTTGGGTAATGTTTCTACTGTTCATCCATCCAGGAGGACTACTAACTTCTGAGTATACCGCACAGGCACCTGCTTCACCATTTCCATTTATTACCATGTTGGCATTTGATACTAGACAATAAATTATTGACAAAACTAAGCAAAAATAGTTAAAGATTGGTGATAACGAGACTTTCGTTTTTGGTGAAATCCGAATGAACAATTATCGATATTTTTACAAATCGAAATTCTATTTGCTAGCATGCTTTATAAGATTAAAGTAGAATTAAGAGTGAATTTTATCATTGCTGCTTCTAACGTGAAGCATATTCTGAGTTTCTTCAATGAAATTTTTTCATTGTTCGATGAAATAACACCAGTTTCACCTCCGGTCTCATGAGTCACAAACAGATTAGCATTCGATAGCTCAAGGTGCCCTGTAAAAATAATAATATGCGATGTTCGCATTGGTAGACTTACTAAAGTAACCAAGAGCGCTTCGAGAAATCCTTATTGATGCTGATGACTGGGATTTGATCACTAATGCAACGATAAGTCCAGCGATTGCGAAGCCAATAAGTAAAAAGCAAATTATAGACAAAATTGCATAAAAAGGTGTGCATGTGCACCAATAAAAACCAAGATATCTACACAAAACANTTTCGGTTTACTCTTCGGCTAGCATTGTACAGATAAGGAATATCAGTTGATGGATCAATAGACTATTTCGTTTAGAGAATAAGTGTAATTCTTCAAAAAAGAAGAACAAGAAGAATATCTCACGGAGTTAGGGATATGAATTGTTGGTAGATCGCTATCACATTCATGAGCAGTTAATGGACGTTCATCAGTAGTGAACGCTCCGCTGGCTTTGGTTCCTATTGAATATGTATTACTGTTCTCTACAGCTATCTCACTTGGATTTTCTATATTGTGTTTATGATGGTCGTCTTTCTTTTGTCGGCTTACTCTTCGGGCGGCATTGTGCGCAGAAGTAATATCGGTTGATGGATCCATAGACTATTTCATTTAGAGAATAAGTGTAATTTTTCAAAAAAGACGAATAAAACGAATATCTCACCGACTTAGGAATATGAATTTTTGGTGGATTGCTATCATATTCATGAACAGTTAATTGATGTTCACCAGTAGTGAATGTCCCACTGGCTTTGATTTTTGATGAATATGCATTACTTTTCTCTACAGCTATCTCACTTGGTTTTTCTTTATTGTGCTTATCTTTTTCGCGTTTATGATTTGGTATTTGTGATAGCTATTTCAAGAAAGAAAACAAAGTTGACATCAAAATGTAAAAACAGGGAAACGTTTGTTTGGTCGGTTTTTTCACGAATTTTCCCCGTATTTGACTGAGTTCATCATGCACCGCATCAAATATTTTGTTTCAATTTTGCTAGCTGCCCTTGAATGTCATAATTAAAAACTCTCTTTATCATTCAATGGTATTCTTTAAGGAATATGTGATAGACTATCACATAAATATTAAATTTCTTTATATTTCCTGCAATCATTAATTTTCCGACCATAGAAATATCTGGAATATGTAAATATTACGTTAGAAATAAATTACCTCATCATTATCTGCACAATGAATTTTCATGGATGGCTGCTTGTGTTCATGAATCCCTGATTTCAGCGTACTGCTTATGGTAGATGCATCATCACGTATCTGTGAAAACCATATCTCAAAAGTCTCTTGTTCATTACCAAATACAAGAAAAGGTGGGAAAAACTCACAGGACTTTGTAGTCCAGGTCGGCTAAAGCAACGAACTCTAATGATACCGGATTGCTTCATTTATACACGTAATCGTCAATAATATACTAATAAATATCCCGATGTGGCGAGAACGAACGTTGTTGCTTTGTTTATAGATTGAGTTCTGACATTCATATATTTAAAATGCATAGCTATTACTCCTTTCTTAGTCAAAAAAAGAATCTAATTGTATTAGAACGGCTATATGTCTTCATCCAACATCAATAAACAAATATCAATTAAATTTATAAGACAATTGATTCATCGTAATACTTGTAAAAAGGTTTCCCTGCTTTTTCTAAGGTCGCTCGGTCCCCGTTTTAGATGTTTAAAGTACATAAAAAATGTCGTATTTTATTGAGAGTCAAGACAGAAAATAAAAAAATCTTTTCTTATATTTTCATCGTCGTTGGTAAGATGATGAAAGAAGAATTTCATTGAGATTCAATCACTATTGCAAGTCGTTATTGTTTGTGATTTAATATGTATAGAAGAATCAAATTAGTTGTAAGTCTATCGAAGAAAAGTTATAGGCGAAAATCACTTGCAAAATATTGAAGAATTTTTATAACGTTTTTCACTCGAAAGACCTTGTTGATGATAAAATCCTTGTATGAAACCGATCACGTTTGTTGGCATCAATGAATTACCCGCCAGAGAGTGAATGATTCAACCATGGGTGGAATCCTAAGGAGATAGAAACCTCTATATTGCAAAAACACAGATATCGGTTAATTTCAATTGCATCGAGTACGCTAAACTTATTTTTCTGGCCACTTTTTATAGCCAAAGAAATAAATATTAAACATGTGGATATTGGTACAGAATTCACCTTTGTACATGGTGAACTATACTTGTAATCTTGATTTTCATATTCTTCAACACTACAACACACTTATTCTAATACATCCACATCCACACCCACACCCTCGATTCTGTGAGCAACAGTAATTGTCTGTCCCCACAGGCATTCTGAAATATGAAACGCGATTGTTCTACTTCTACCAGTTTTTGATTCATGTTTTAGTTATCTTTATAAGAAAAAAACCTTCATCGTCGAAAAACGCAAACATCTATGCATGGAATACTGCTTCCTGTTAGTCGTTAAAATTGTTTCTTGGTATATAGATTGTTGATTAGAAAATATTTTATTTTGATAAGTCTTTAATAGCACAACTGGCTATCGAGTAAAACTCGAATACAACTGAATCATCTAAAGTGCTATGTTTTCATAGCAGACTTTATTATTAAAACTGGATCCATATCACACCACACGCATATATATGATCACTTGTGACTATTGATTGATGTTAAGGTCACTACTATGAAAGATACATTTGCTCAAATAGTATACTTTTTGCAGTAAAAAAAACAATACAAAGAAGATATTTTGTGTTTAAGAAAATTTATACATTCATGGTCATTGGTACAAATAGACACCGATATTGTCCGCGTACCCATTATTATAACCTCCACGTGCCCAAGCAAAAGTAACGAGCAAACTCGTAGAACGAGCGCCAACTGGTACCAGTCCACTTGTCTGTCGAAAGATAAGTACTGTTAAGCCTCCTCGATCAGTATCGAGAACGGGTCCAATACTAGTCATGCTACCTATCGTTTGATTGGCCTGATCAGTGAAACTCAAAAAGACAGTTGCTGAATCATTTTGATTCGAAACGCCTCCCAACCAGGCTGAAAGATTGAATTTCACTGTTCCTGTATCGATAAGAGCTGAATCGGCATAATTAGTCAAATTGATTGTTTGCCACATTGATGCAATAATTGTTGCTTGACCATACAAAAGGCAGTTACCTCTATCACTAAAGAAAAACAGTTCATACAAGAAAATAGATTCCCATCTTACGTAGTTGCAGCTCCAGGGCCATAAAATGCCGGTGCACCATAGATAAGTATACTATCATTGTAATAGACTTGTGTGATGTTTCCATTGTAGTTCCACCCTGGAGGACTAACAACTTCTGAATTAATCGCGCAACTACCTGTTTCACCATCTCCATTTGTTACCATATTGGCATTTGATACTAAACAAAAAATTATTATAAAAATGAATAATTGCTGAGCTACTTTTAAGAAGTCTTTAAAATCTTATGGAAGCCGAGCTAACACTCCTATTTGTACTATGCATCAGTATTTAACTAAAGAACGAGTGCTCATTTCTGTATTAGTGACATGGTCTAAGATGCTGGAAAAAATGTATATTCACTCCTCATGATTCAGTTAACAAACCTTGAATTACTAAATAAATCAACGATTCATTCTGTTTTCCTTTTGATCATACAAAAAGTGAAAAAGTAACCAAAGACAGAAATTTTGCTCATCTTTTCAGTTTCTCAAGTCACTAAATAGTTTTTGTTGAAGAAAAATAAAATCTATTATCAATGTTTTTTTCTAACAGATATCATGTCGTTTCTATGATGAAGTGTAATTTAGATTTTAATGAAATCTTTTCATCATTGTTTGGACCACAAATAGATTTACAATGAATGAGCCAAGGTACCGTGTAATGAACACTACTTTATTTTGTTTCTTCACCAGTCAAATAATTTGTTTTTGTTTGTTACTAATAATATATAATATTGTAATTAGTTTGACTTACTAAAGTAACTCAGAGTAGTTGCAGAAACCGTTGTTGTTTTTGAGGAATTGGGCTGGACCACTAATGCAACGATAAGTCCAGCGATTGCGAAGCCAATAAGTAAAAAGCAAATTATAGACAAAATTGCATAAAAAGGTGTGCATGTGCACCAATAAAAACCAAGATATCTACACAAAACATTCAATAGCGAATGAACAGTTGGTGATTTAACATACCTTCGGTTGTCGCCTTTCTTCTCTCGGTAAGTGTCGTACTGAGAAGCATTACCGGTTGATGGGCCATAAGACTATTTCGTTTAAAGAATAAGTACAATGTTGAAAAAAGAGTAAAAGCGCAAGACGAATATCTCACTGAGTTAGGAACACGAATTGACGGTAGCTCGCTATCATATTCACGAGTAGCTGATTGATGCACATGAGTAGTGAATGCCGCACCGAGTTCGGTTCTTCGTGAATATGTACTGCTTGTCTCTGTAGTTATCTCGCTTGGATTTTCTGTATTGTGTTTGTGATGGGCGCCTTTCGTTTTTCGGTTTACTCTTCGGCTAGCATTGTACAGATAAGGAATATCAGTTGATGGATCAATAGACTATTTCGTTTAGAGAATAAGTGTAATTCTTCAAAAAAGAAGAACAAGAAGAATATCTCACAGAGTTAGGGATATGAATTGTTGGTTGATTGCTATCATATTCATGAGCAGTTAATGGACGTTCATTAGTAGTGAACACCGTGTTAGCTTTGATTCTCGATGAATATGTATTGCTTTTCCCTACAGCTATCTCCCTTGGATTTTCTTTATTGTGCTTATCTTTTTCGCGTTTATCATTTGGCATTTGTGATAGCTATTTCAAGAAAGAAAACAAAGTTGACATCAAAATGTAAAAATATTAAAACTTTTGATGGTGTTTCTGTCATATTTGCTCTTTAATTTGGTTGAGCTCACTATATACTCCATTAGATGTCATCTTTCAATTTTGTGGACTACTTTACAAATCATGAAAGTAATAATATAGCATTATCATAACTCTCTTTTTGATTCAATGGTAATTTTAAGACATATGTAATAGGCTATCACTTAAATATTGAACTTCTTTATATTTCGTAAAATCATTAGTTTTTCGATCGTAGAAACACCTGGAATATATAAGTATTACGTTAGAAATAAATTACCTCATCATTATCTGCACAATGAATTTTCATGGATGGCTGCATGTGTCCACGAATCACAGATTTCAATGTGCTGCCTATGGTAGATGCATCATCACGTCTCTGTTAAAAAATATGTATAAAAAAATGTCGTGTTCATGACACAAAATAAAATATAATAAAAACTCACAGGACTATGTAGTCCAGGTCTGCTAAAGCAACGAATTCTAATAATATCGGATTGTTTCATTGATGAATGTTAAGTATATGCTATTGTTTTAGCCAATAGATTCGAATTTCAATTGCACACGTAATCGTCAATAAGTTAAAAATAAAAGTATCAGTGCCACGAGAACTGTCGCAGGTTCTTGTTCAAGTATGATTTTAGAGTTTCTTTTGTCGATGGAACAAGCAAACTATGTGCATGGTAAGTAAAAGTACGAACATAGTTGCTTTGTTTATAGATAGAGTTCTGACATTCATATATTTAAAATGCATAGCTATTACTCCTTTCTTAGTCAAAAAAAGAATCTAATTGTATTAGAACGGCTATATGTCTTCATCCAACATCAATAAACAAATATCAATTAAATTTATAAGACAATTGATTCATCGTAATACTTGTAAAAAGGTTTCCCTGCTTTTTCTAAGGTCGCTCGGTCCCCGTTTTTTATGCTTAAAATATATAAAAATGTCGTATGCTGTTGAATGTCAAAGTTGAAATAAATCTTTCACTATATTTTTATTGTTATTGGTAAGAAAACGCAAGAGGAATTTCATCAAGATTTAGCCACGATTGAAAATCGTTGGTGTTTGTGATGTAATGTGTATAGAAGAATTTTTCTAATTTGCTTCAACAGACAGATCTTCTCATGATAATATACTTTGTATGAAACAGATGGCGTTTGCTAGCATTAATGACTTCCTCAACAGAGAGCGAACAGGATTTGAGCATGGCTCAGATTGAAGTGGAGATACAGACTCACATGTCACACACATATCGACATTTTTTATCGTCATTATTATCTAGTGTGCATTATAGTTGAGCTTTGTACTAGATCAGTGACGCGAATTTTTTCATGCAGAAAGCGATCAAAAAATCAGCGAGTATAGTTGGATGGAACAAATTTATTAATCTCTTTTTTTGTTTTATTAGTTCATAGCGATGGCGAGTCGTGCGATATTTCGATAATAAAGATAGGCAATGCTTGCATGTAATGCATTTTTTTAGTTTGCAATTCATTTATTTTTATCGAAATCCAAGTATAGAAGTCATATTACCTATCTTGGCTCAACGGACATGTGAGAGATAGTGGGAAACAATCATACAATGGTACATGTACTAAACTATTTAAGATTTCAATAATTATTCAAATACTTAAGACTAAATTTATACATAAACAATGGTTTCATTGCAGCTGGATATTATAATCATCTATTTAGTTATAGCACTATTTTCTAGTGACGACAGTTCCTGTGTGGAAAAAAGAGTTGATTATTGTACCATATTGTTTCGTCTCAAAAAGAGAAGATCCTACAATTTTTAGCATTAATGAGGTACCATCTCTAGTTATCTACTCTAATATACTGGATATAACAAAAATTTGGATGTCGATATTATAATCAACAATTCTCCAGACGCTAAACATACAAATATCTCTAAGATTTATTTATCATTGCAACTAAAGATTCTCTTTTATGCATAATTGATCAAATCTAAGGCAAAACACTTGAGTAAACTCTTCATTACTTCTATTGTTTGATAAGATGCTCCGCTGATAATAAGAGTATACACATACAAACATCATGTCGCTTATTCTTTTCGATCAAATCTTATAGAAAATAAATCGTTAGAATAACAATAGTCCCCAACTAAAAAAAGGAGGAAATAAGAATCATCGATGTGAATAAGTTTTGTTGCTAATACAATAGAGCATAAATTGCCTGCAAAACAGATTCAAACTTACAACTAACAGCCTGGGTCACAAAATACTATTATTTCATTCAGGCATGTATTTAGTTCTAATAATCAAGCTCATTCTTTATCTGTCTATGATAAATAACGTAGAACTATTTGTGAATAAAACTCTCGCTATCAATAATGCAACTATCGCATCAACACGTTCACATCAAATAACAACCATTCTTGATGAACTTT